TACAGCACTGCACGGAAAAATTGACCATTTTATCCACTACAATTGCATTGCTCAAATATGCTGTTATTGGTACCATTTACTACTGAAAATATCCACGAGATGTTTATTTATATTTGAAGACATATTAAAGGCTTTAACGCTTGTTTTCGACTCGCACTATTATTCTTGATTGAACAAAACTTTTGGCAGGTACCGTATGAAAACGTATGTTTAATGAACAAGAGTCGAAAGTATAATGAGCTTTTTTCTCCCTACCTACGATTTTGCCAGCGCGCTTCCAAGACATTGGAAGGGGCACTTCGCTACAGAAAGTAAATGAAGTATAAGTAAGACTTATGCTTAAGCAGTACTTTGATAAGTCTGCCTTAGTAAAACTTCGGTGCAAACGGGCATAAAAGAAACTATTATTTAAAAAAAGCAGACATTAAGGGAATCTGAATTTTGAGTGAAACGAATTGATGAATAGTACTCGAAAAGTGTTATGTAACATGTTTCGAAAATGTGACATTTCTGGTTCAACCGGTGTTCAAGAGTGGCTTTACCTCAATATTTAAAATTAAAAGACCCAATTGTTTTTTATTTTTTTAATTCGTTCTTCTTTTGAAGCATATTGTTTAAACTAAATTTAAGATGTACCTATATCTTTAAAAACTTAAAGGCATGAATTCCAATAAAACCATCAATGACAAAGAAATTTCTGTATTCAGAGCTATCACTTCAATTTGAAAAAATGGACTTACGACTGATTACATTTAACCAAATCCGCCATTAAATATCTAAAACCCTTGAAAGTATTGACGGGAAGCTTGAGGGTATATCTACCTCTCCTGAATTTATTGCTGCTCCAGCTTTCTTACTGTAAAATAGGTATGGCTTTTGCTACCTACTGCTTTGTGCTACTATTTTCTAAAAAAAATGAATATCTCGAAAAACGTAAATTTTAAGAATTGTAAAATCTATCTAAAATCATAAGTAGAATTGAAAACTGTCATAATACGTAGGGAATTAATAATATTTGTCGTTCAGTAGTAAATCAGTGTCAATAACGCATAATATAAACACAGACGGTTAATATGTATGTAGATGTTTACATATACCCAAAAAAGGTACTTAGTAATCGGTTCGCGTTTGGCTAAAGTGCAAACGCTAAAACTAAGACTAAGACTTCCCTTTCGAGACCCCAAATTTGAGCAATAATTTTCCATTATGTACTTTAAACGTGTTCTTTCTCGACAACAATGTCATAAAGAGATGAAACGTATATTGAGCGATATTACTCCATCTCTCAGGACTGTCGAACGGTGACGTAAACAATTCGAGAGAGACGATGTTAATTAAGAAAACGATCCACATTCAGAACGGTCGAATGACGTAACTACTACTGAAACAGTGGCTGTCGTGGAAGTTCATCGAATCACATATGTATGTGCAAATTCAGAAGACTCTTAAGATATCTGTAGGGACACTAAATATTACATATAAAAAAGTTTGTGCAGTTTTTTACCAAATAAGTTAACCGACGAACAAAAAGGACATCGAATAGATTCCTGAAAAAAAAATTCTGATAAAGTTTGAATCCGACATCTCGTAATTTATTTTTAATTGTGACAGAAGAAGATTATCCGACAACGCCAAAGCAATCCTGATCGGGTTGTTGTTTTCTTTGGTCTTCGTGGCATTATAAAAACGGTACCATTAGATACGCAACGTACTATAACAGCAAACTGGTACACTGAGCATTGCTTGGTTCGTACATTGAAACAGTTGCACCCGAAAAGTCGTTTGTGCACAACAAACTATCGAATTTATCAAATCATCCGGTATCAGGCTTATGGATCATCCTCCGTATAGTCCTAATCTGGCACCGCGTGACTTTGCACTATTCCCATACGCCATGAAACTATTGAAACACCGCAAGTTTTAAATTTAAATTGGACTCTTAAATGCTTGGGAACCCGACTGGAAATTAGTGGATTGGCTCCGATGCGGATCAGAATTGCCTGAAGATTGATCAGAAATAAATCAGGCTTTCTGATCCGGGTATGATGGAAAATCCTCACGTCTTATATGATCAACATAGGACCCATTTGAAAAATCCATGTCGGATCTGTTTCTAAGATCCATGACGGATCCGTTTGTTTGACGAACAATATTGCACACAGAATAAATCAGGTAAAAAATAAAGTTCTGTATTATGAACCAGTTCAGAACATCGGATACAATCTTCATTTAAAGATTGTACCGAAACCGTAGTAAAATTTGTAGTATTAAATTGTGATAAGAAATTGGTCAGATGACTGGATTAAGGGATAGGATACTCTACTATTTAAATTTAATCCGCATCTGATCATAATCCCGGTTCTCTGAACTAATTTCCAGTCGGGAAGGAATATGCGCCGCAATATCCAACGACAATTGAAATAAATGGTTTGACAATTGATTTCAACTTCCGGTATAACCGGAAGTGACATAAATGCTGTTATTTTAATTGAGGAGAACATTCCCAATAACACTATTGTAGAGATTTCCAAATTTAAATCAAAGTAGTTTCCAAAATATTCTAATGGGTGGGTCACCGTGAGACACCCTGTAGATATTGCTGCTTTTTATATGAAAATTATAAAATGGTTGTAAATATGCTGGATGAAGTTTGAAAAGAATGAACTGCACAAATTGTTTTACAAAACTAGTATGGAAAAGAATGCGTTATTTGGAAACAAGGAAGACCCAAGCATCTCAGCGATTTTACTGTTGCTACTGCATAAAAATGTTAGGTGTATTAAAAGTATTACTCCAATTACTTAATAATTACCTTTGCAAATATTTTTTTTGAATTCAAACGCAAACCCTTAAATATCCCGATGTATGAACAAATGTAATTATACTACTTTTAAACATAGTCTCAATAAAATTTTCCTTTTTATTTGAAGTAACATTTATTATTCGCTGTGTTTGTGTTGATACAATAAGGCTTCAAAGCTATATGTACATTAAGAATTAAAAATTATAACTTATAATTTTATATACATATTTTTATGACTTGTATCTTTCTATTTTCCATGCCTAATTTCACATACTTTTGTTTTTCGTATCTAATTCTATAGTGTCTGTTTCTGTAATCTTCGCTCTCTAACTTTTAGATAAAAGAAACTATCTACTCTTTTTAATAGTGCTTCTTTAGAATTTTTCAGATTTAACTTTTCCTTTGTGTATTTTCAATTTATATCTTTTCTTACAATCTATTCGTTTTATTCTTTTGAAATTAATTACAGTTCCTGTTCGAACCTACCCTAATGTGTTTTGTGTACCCTCTCAGTTGGTCTTATTCGAAACTTCACGCTTTTACCTAATTATAGAAAGTAACCCTTTCCTACATCCCGTCCACTTACATATTTTTAGGTTTATTGCTTTAGTCACGGTCTTCTTCTCCACTTTCCTGGTATTCCGTCGAATAACACCCTATTAGAATTCTCCGTAAAACTTTCCCTGCTCACCTTCCTACAACTTTATAAAAACCCATTCGCCCTTAACATTCTTCTCTCTCAATTCTATCGCTATTTTGTGGTATTCAACCAATCTTAGAACTGACGACCTTATGATGATAAAGCTTATTTGGAATTTTACAACCCATCCAGTCACTCTACCCTTATTCCTTATACGGAAATTCGACATACACGCAAATTAATTGTACGTAAATAAAAAGGAAACCTTTCGCAGTACTACTAATTTATTTAAGTAATCACTGCTGTTTAGTTAACACCATTACTATTAATTAATTCGTCTTCTATCGCCTCGTAGCTAGAACTCAAACTTATTAATTCATTTGACTATAACTATTTATAGAAGCTAGACTTGTCCTAGAAAGATTTTAGAATATAGATAGAGAATGTGGCCTTAGTTATTTCTAAGGCAATCTAGGCAACCCATTCTATGGGCCTATTGATGCTTCTCCGCGTATGGTGATTTGCCTATACGTAACAATACGTACTATGCTACATAATTTTGTTTATTTATTTTATACAATTATACGTTTTCTCATGGGATGTATTAGTTGTTAAATCTTCCCATATTTTTACATAAAGTTAATATATATTTTATCTGGCCCCTTTATTTCTTTTGGTTATTTCCTATGTATTTAATTTTTTTTCCAGTGTTTTTTATCAATTTTATTCTTGTCATTCTTCTTTAATTTAGACTCCTTGATTTTTCTGAACAGGAAACCCTACTTTTGTGAAGGATTCCAATTCCATGAAAAAGATGGCAAAATCGTAGTTAGGGAGAAAAAAAGCTCATTATACTCTTGATTCTTGATCATTAAACATACTTTTTCATACAGTACCTGCCAAAAGTTTTGCTCAATCATGAATAATAGTGCGCATCGAAAACAAGCGTTAAAGCCTTCAATATGTCTTCAAATATAAATAAACATCTCATTGATATTTTCAGTAGTAAATGGTTCCAATAACAGCACATTTGAGCAATGCAATTGTAGTGGATAAAGTGGTTAATTTTTCCATGCAATACTGTACTTATTATACGCTCCTCACCGGTTAAAGGTTTTTTGTCTCCTTTCTTTTCTGACCTAGTGCTGTTCTTTTCTATTTTGCGCCGGTCAAACTGAAGGTCACATCGCCAGAGAAAATAAACGAAGTATATTTTGAATTTGGTGGCTTAAAATACGAAACGAATGGAAAAATAACTCATGAATGAAATTTTTAATAATATTTCAGTCAGGAAAATGATGTTACTCTTAATATAAGCTTTTCGTTTTTTTCCTTTACAATCCAAATTTGTCAAAAATAACGTGCGTTGGTAGTTTAAAAAATTAAGTTGATCTTTAAACGATCCAAAATTCACGATAATGTCTGACTCAGAGTAAGTTTATTCCTTGTCAACTCTATAAAAGTTGTTTTCCTCAAAACAAAAGAACCCATACCTAGTAAAATTCGAGCTTATAAAATGTAAATGAAAACCTGAAAACTTGTTTTGTATTGTTGTAGTGCATTCCCATATACGAGACGGAAGATAGAATAGGTGGATACAGATGCGTTTGTAGAAGCGGATACTTTTATCAGGCAGCGAATCACACCTGGCCAGGATTCCTCAAAGAGGAACTCGAAGATGATATACTGGGTCCATTCAGGTTAGTTTTTTATCTACTCTGCATGTAACTTTTCGATGCGCACTATTACCAGAAAATGGTATAAAACGTATTCTTTCAATAAAATATTATGCCAGTAAGCTACAACTACCGTTGGCTAAAACCGGATAATTTTAATGGGGAAGATTATAGGAATAGAGGGCGCCACACGTTTGATCTACTTAAATTTCGTTCGAGGTTAAGCCGATTAAGCAATTTATTATTAAGGAATCTAATAAGTACCCTTCTTCTTGTGCAATGTATTGCATATGGATATAAGACCAGCTTATGTCAAAACTGAAAAGGAGATGTGCGTCATGTAGTGATAGAAAGGTAAACCTTGTAAAAAGGTTAGTAAAACCACCACAATATGTGTAATTTTCGATTAAAATTTTGAATGGTTTTCTGTTAAAGTCACAGTAATATTACTGTAAATGTTTATGTACTTCTATTGTTTCTCATCTAACAAGGTGAAGTTATGACGAATTTTATAAAGACTTAAACAGTAGTACCTACTGCATAAACTTAATTTGATATAAACTTAAAAAAAAACATTTATTTTCTGTAAAATGGTGCCCACATAACCTTAAATATGGTTGCGATTTGGCTAATTCTGATCGTCTTATTGCTTCATCCCACAATTTCTTGTACTTTTCATTATTTGGAAGAAATGGTATCCATTTTCTTTACATTCCAACACTGTATACTTTGTCATTTTTGTTAAATTTTAAAAAACTCGGAAATTTAGTTAGTCTACCTCTTTTGCACTTACGAAATTTACATTAACCTCTTGTCAAAATAAACCTTAGAATAGAACAGAATCAGAGTAATAGTGAAACGTAGCGGGAGAAAAAGGTAAAAATCATCTCCATTATATATTTGCACTGTTGGATGTAGTGAGGCTAATCTCAAATTACAGTGGAAGTGGATTTCACTTTGTTGCATGCTATAAGTATGCCTTTGTTGTTTTCGTTTTATTTATTTTAGAGTCAGATATATTTATCACTGTTATTTTTATTCCGTATGAATTTGTAGAATCTTGCACGAGAAAGAAAAAGAAAATCGATTCCGATTTATGACTGAATTTATTAAAATACTAGTGTTAAAATAGGGTTACCACCACTTTAGGCAAACAGAAAAAGGGTCCATAAAGAAGTAGTGTACGCATTCTTTGGTAGTCAATTTTAAACAGTATTAGGCGGTGCAAGACAGAGCCATTGCAAGTAGCGTTCCATGACAGGAACTTGAAGTGTTGTAACATAGTGTTAAGGATATTTCTAGTATCCAAATATTGATTTTATTAAAAGAGACGGCATCGAAGAATTGGTGAAAGAAATAATACACAAAGCGAAAGATCATGAATCCTGACACAACGTCACATTCAATTAATGTTTCATTTGTTCAGAATCGAATAGCGACTATGAAAAGATAGAAGAATCAGATGACAATATGTCCTGGTCATATAGGAGGCTCTCGCATAGGGTTGTGTACAATCCCTATTTGGAATTGAGGGTTAACGATGCTTTAGATTTCTATCATTTGAAAAGCAGATCGCTTTTTTGAACTTATTTGTTCTCACCAGTCCACATTCTTGGACCAACAATAATTGTAGGTTCAACAATATACAAATTACAATTAGTAGCAAATTTAGATGTTCTTTATTAAACGGAACTGCCCATGTCCCTCTGATGAGTACGAATACGTTTAAAATCGCAATACGGAAGTTTCGAAAAACTAACTATCCAGGCGCATTCTAATTTGATGCTTATCATACAAGTTAGCTATGCCGCATACCGTAGGTTAACTGCAACAATTAGATGCTCTTAATTAAAAAGGACATTACTGAACATTACTGAAACTACAATTGTTTACAGGGCTGTCTTTAACCTATTGGAGGCCCTGGGCACATAAGCCTTACCGGGGCCCTACAGCTTTAACAGAGAATTATTTTGGTTTATCAACAATTATTTGTTTCTTTATATTCACAATGAATGAATAGATAATTGTAATATGACTCGGAAAAGTAACTTTATCATTCTCCGGTTGGTACAAAGTTGTGTTTTTTGAAAAGGCACCCTTCTAGTTTTCAGATATACAAAATTGTCAACCAGTTGTTGAAACTCTTTGTCTTTGAGCATTGTTTGGACTGATCAATCTTTCTTGAAGCATTGTTCGCCTTACCTTATTTTTTATTCTTTTCCGTTTAAAGAAGGAGCGTTCGCCACTACAGTTAGTTACCATCATGTTTAAAAAGATTCTTAATGTAATTTCTACATTTGGAAATGTGTCTCCAACTCGACTATTTATTAAAACTTCTGGAATACCAAATTAGTTTGCCAAATACCGACATTCTATTTCTAACTCTTTCTTGTTAACATCTTCATAGCAGCAAATTCATTGCAACTTTATCTCGGGATTTGGAGTTTTCAAGCGAAAAACAATGTCAACAATAACCAATGTCCTTGTGCAAACTCAATCGCTGTTTTAGATGCACGCTTGAGGTATCACTTATGGAAAGTAAGGTATTTCTACTTTAATATCTCTTCCAACTCGGTTGGACTATCGGTGCAGTCAGCAAAAAATTTCTGGCGCGAACTTCTAAGTCTTACTCTTTGAGACAAGTTCTTGTAGTCAGATTTTGTATTTTTCTCATTGGAGAGCGATTCGAAGTAATAAAATGACAGAATAATAGATGTTTGAAGAATCACCTACATTTAGGTATTCTCGCGTTTATAGCATGCAAAGGCGATTATGCAAGTAAATATTCTAACAGCAATTATTGATTAATTTTCTTAAATTTTGGTTGGCGGAAGGATATGGCAGGAACCATAAAGGGGGCCTCCGTTAATCGTGGGGCCCTGGGCACTTGCCCAAAGTGCCCAATGGAAAATAGGGGCCTGATTGTTGGTTTGTTGCCATTTATTACTTAAAATTAAGTTGCATATCACTAATTGAATTTTGTAACTTATTATTCTAAGTGTTATTATGTGACGCTGCTATGATTAACATGTTCCTAAGACAGGAATTCCTTCAAAAAGGGTTCACCTTTAAACAGTATTATGTACTTAGTTAATTTGCATGAAAATATTTATTAAATTGTTCCTGTGAATTTCCTCATATTCTTATCATAAATTTGATCTGTATTAATATTCAAGGGATATGTACGTATGTGTATAAATATTCTTTTTTGATAAATTTCAGGTCAAGGTTTTAAAAAATTGCTTCAGGTGAACTAATGAAAAGAAAATGTACTCCTGTATAAAAGCAATATAACGGAATTCTGATGCAGGCTCCTCTATTAGATTTTTGATCGCTTTACCCTACTTGTTGTCTTATATGTTTCGCCACTTGGGTGCTTAAACGGTTGCTCTCTTTGAAAGCTGATAGGGAGCTGCGGACGGTTTCTAAAAACCAATTTGGGTAACTGCCAAATGCAGCTGCAGCAGTTTCTGTCGGAAGGACGCCGCATAAGCTCTTTCTATTTTATCGCGATATGCAGTATAAGCTGTCTTGAACAATGCCTGCCGTGCATCTGCTTTCGATTGTGTTTCATGTTGCTTGGACATTTATTGTAATTTTAATAATAACCTGTCGTCAGCAAACTGACTACCTATTACGTATGTGTATACATACATATTGTATCGAGCACGAACGTGTTTATGTGCGATCAGGCACACGTGTGCGTGAACGGCTTATCGATTCTCCGACTAGCCGCGGGCGCCTTTCTTCACGTGCGCCGAGTTTGTAAATTTCTTTCATTCTTCATTCTGGGAAAGCAGTTAAACAGTTCAAAGAAAATAAACGATCCGGATGTTTCTAGAGGGTTCCTGAAAGTAAACAAATGAGTGTTTAAAGGAAGAGACGATCGCCGAGAAACGAGGAGAAATAAACTGACCGTTGCAGAAGTGAATCCAGAAATAAATTGACAGTGATAGCAGTGAAATAAATAGCTCTGTGAATAGTGACATATCAACAGTAGTGCAAATAAACAGAATAATTCATAAGTTTAGTAATAATTTAATAGTGCTTTTAAGTTCTTTAATAAAATTAGTGTAAATAAATCGTTTTTGTCGTTATCAGTCTTAAAAGTTAATTTTGTTAAACCCACGAACATTACAATATAAATAAATTTGAAGTGTTTGCAATATCAAAATAACTTCTAAACTGTCTTGCCTAATACTATGTTCACATGTTTATTGATGATAACAGTTAAACAATTTAAAGTAAATTCACGATAAAACAGCTAGTTACCAAATAAAATTCAATTAAATTCAGTTTCAGAAAATTATGTTAAAAACATTCTTTTATAATTGTTCCGACCAGGCCGCCGGTACCAGAGACTATACAAAGAATATGAAACTATTAAAAATATAAAAATTTTGGGGGTCTGATTCCTATCAGCTGCCAGTGCTGGTGGATGGGCACACGGCAGTTAATCTGACTCACACATTTGTTCAAAACCGGAGGGCGGGGCGGAAGGTCCCCATTTTATGAATTGGAAATGTGAAAATGTACGTTAAAATTTAACAACAATGAATTAATTCATATTGAATTGAAGAAAAAGCAGAAATGGAGAGAGCATTATTAAAAAGGAAAATATTGTTAACAATCAAGCATAATTATGTACAAAAAATAAACCTGTACTTTTTATTGGTAATCTGTAAATATAATGTTCGATTATTATTGTAAGCTTTCACGGTCAATAGATACTAAATGCAATAGGTTTTGGTCCTAGGCTTTGCTTAGCTGTTGACGTTTCACTGTGCTTAGCAGAAGGCATCATTTCATATCATGAAACGGAACCCATTGAAGATATTAAGAATAATGCTGGTAATATATTGACGGAGATATGACTACAAACGTAGAAAAAAAGGCGATTTTGCATACTTAATATTTTTTTTATTTTTTTAGTTTCTGTGAACAAAAAAAAAATAAAATAAGAAAAAAAGGTTTTTTTGCCTTATAACAAGCGAAGGAGGGTTCGGGATAGTAGCTATGGGTTC